AGGCTTCTGGCTTGCATGTCGAATATAGGAGGGAGTCCCCAAGAAGAAGGTTAACCACTTTGTTGTACCCTAAAAACCACTACTATAGACCTTTAGAACAGTAAACTATAGAACTTCGTCGACAGACGAATCCACCAAAATTTATTCTTGAGTAATAAGCGCCACCTGCTTTTTTCACTGTTACTCAGTGAGGCTTCTGGCTTGCATGTCGAATGTAGAAAGGAGTTCCTAGAGCTAGTTGACCTTTCTACAAACCGTTCTAATAGTTTATACAACTCTTCAACAGACTTCTTATTTCTCTTTTTAGTTGGTAATTTTGGTCCAAGTGATTGTTAGAAAGAGTTTTTATGGAATTAGCGTTCGAATTTGAGGATATTGGAAGCTACATTTATGTTGTAATGATTAGTTTTTCCTGTATCTCATCACTTCCATATTTGTCTATTTCTTTAAGTTGTCTATAATTGTATCATCCTAGTCATGTTAATCTTACCTTAGTAGTATTAGGCATTATTATGTATTCTTGGTGGCTTAATCATGCAAAAGTGTAAGTAGAGCATATATGCGATTGCATTAATTTGTAATTATTGCGCCTTGAGTAAATGTAAAATCTACAGCATAAGCATTGAGATCCCCATGATAACAATCTGTAAAATTAGAATGTATATAAGAGTGTGTCTTCATTCTTAGTAGAGGATAACATTCGCTCTTCCAAATTTCTCTATAAATAAAGGTTACTTATATTCACATTCTTTTTTATCATAAATGCCTAATAAATCATGAATATCCGAATACCATAGTTTATTGCCCAAATCATATAACCCTTCTAACATCAACCATCAGAGTTAAATTCAGCATGACAATACCAAGCTCTCTCTTATGATAGTTACAATGTCAAGAAATGAATCGAAAAGCCTATAATTATAGAAGGCTACGGAAAGTCTAATGAAAAGAAAAATCAAATAAACAAAAAAACGAATAGACAATTTTGGAATATTAGAGGACTTTATCAATAATACAAGATAAAGTACCACCACTTATTTACTTACCTCTGTATATTGGTTTGTCATCAACATTAACCAAATAGCCAAACCATAATAGAATATAGAATGCTCCTCTGTTCTGAATTTACAAAAATGAATCGTGCTGAAAAAATTGATGGCCTTGAACACTGGCATCAGGATGAAATCAAAATTAAAAAGGATATAAAAATCAGCAGAGGCTAGTAGTGTTGACAAATATAGGAATGAAATTGAAGAGGATAAATAGAACAATAGTTTTAGTAGAATATTCAAGGATAAAATAATGCAAGAGAATAATGAAATCATACTTGAGGGCCCCAGGATCTGAAGTTATTTTTCTTTCTTATTTTTATTTTATTTCTTTTTTTGTCTTAGTTATTATTATTATATATATATATATATATATATATATTTCTATTCTATAAAAAGATACAAACTAAGTGTTAGTACAGATGTAAATGACAAAGCCTCAAATATCTTTAAACTTTGTATATTTTTTGCAATTTTTGAACGAAGTACAAAGCTATATTAGTAAATTGTCTCTTGAAAATAATAAAATTGTTATTACTAAAGTCATTGCAAAAACCCTCTTGTCCCCGTAAATTTACCATATCTGTATTCTTGATTTTCTCAGTAAAAATAGAAAGAGAAAGTGTCGATTAGTAATTAAAACCTCCTTTTTAATATAAAAATATATTAATTTCATTATCCTTACCAATTACGTAAAACAATTGAAAATCCAATTTTGCAGTAATTACATGACAATTGTTAAAAATCTTAACAATTGAAGTCGAATATAGAATCCCAGTTGCGCTAAATTCAAGAAGAGAAGTTTTTTTTAGCCTCAAGTAGAGCATAAAATATGCCTGGTAAAAGAAGATCTCAAGGCTATCTTTATCTTATCATTAAACTGTGCCACAGTAAGACTTAAAGACCTCTTAAAGTTATTTTTTGTATGATTACCTGAACATGAAAGATAGAAAAAACGGGTTATGCCAAGCTCATACGTAAATCAGACAGTACACAGAGAAAAAATTGATCTACGCACTTTTGAAATCTGTGCCAGGTTATGCCGATTACCGAATCGAAAAGCATTAAGTACGGATTTTAATTTACATTATATTTGATATTTATGTATACTCATATAAGTAAAATTTTGTGCTGAAAACTTTTGTTTAGAAGTTAAACTACGGTTATTATAGTAAAATCTTGAGTTATTTACAATTTTTTTGTTTTCTCAATGAGAAAACAGAAAAATCGAAAATAACTCAAGATTTTACTAAGATAACCATAGTTTAGCTTCTAAACAAAAGTTTTCAGCATGAAATTTTACTTATATGAGTATACATAAATATCAAATATAATGTAAATTAAAATCTGTGCTTAATGCTTTTCAATTAGGTAATCGGCATAACCTGGTACAGATTTCAGAAGTGCTTGATCTACCTTCTAAATCTGAATTACTATCAATTCACATTATTTTAGAGACACTGTTATCTCAATAATCAATATATGTAGATACAAATATTGCTTGAAATATGAATGTGATGAATAAAAGATCGATCACAACAGCTTTGTGTGGGGTGGGCACATAGTATCAGAAAAATCATTAGATATTGCCTGACAAATATCTAACATAGCGTTAGCAAACAAATCAGAAGAAGGCCCAGTGAAATTTTAGATAAAAGGGTAATATGAATATTGATGGCCTGAACCTATCATGAATTTAGAAGAACCAATATTGGGTACTGAAGTGGCTTAAGAGAAAGGGCATTAGCGAAATGAAGAAAGGAAACTCAACAAGACACTGGCTAGAAAAAGTGCTATAAGAAATTCTTTATTTATTTTTGGAAAGGAGGTAAGAAGGAAAAAAAAAATAGTCATTCAAAAGGTCTCTGGCAATGAACAAGATTCGGCCGAAACCCAATCTATATATTAATTTAATAGATAGGAGCTTCGAAAATTGAAACAAAAATGGGTTCTAACACAAACTGTACAAACCTCTAAGTCCCAAGAAAGTAGTAGAAATAAATCTGAATGGACATAATATTATACTGGCTAGTTATGACAATTATGCGCGAGTTAGGAAAGCGCATAAAAGGAAAAGGTGTAAATTGGCGCGAATGTCTTGCTTAAACCTGATGGCCCCAACCAAGAAAAAAAAAAGAAGTGACTAAAAAAATTAGTGCCTCAAGATAATTTCCTTGAATCAGAAGAAGTTGTGATACCCTGATTCCATAGCCAAAGTCAGGAAAATTTGGATGAAACTCTTAAGCAGAAAAAAAAAATGGAATAACAATTTGAAAAGCTGAAAGATACGATCCAACTCCTGATCAACAAAATAAACTTGGAAGATCTAAATAAATTTTTTAGAAGCCAAGGTCACAAGATCAAAGAGACTATTGAAAGAAGTATGAAGAAAAATAAAGTGAATCCATATTTGTACCTACAGGATCTGAGAAAAGTTGAATGCCGCATGTGACAAAACTAAAGCCCTGAATTCCCAGACTTAATCGAATGCCCATGTGATATAAGTATACTGAGATCTGATGTTAGAAGAGGTTGAGGTGGAAAAATTCGAGAAGAGTTATGTGAATGACTTACTGAATCGAAAGGAGTCTAGTTTGAAAGATTACGAAGAGGATATATCTGCTGTTCAGTACCTAGGGTGGTAGTATGTGCACCAAGTCCAGCATATCACGATTCCAATTTTAGAACAAATCTGGAAGTTTGATGTCTTTAGTGTGATGCTGATTAAGGCTACAAGATTGCGGGTAATGAAGCATGTAGGGTTTGTAGGAGCTCACCCTTTAGAAGGAGAAGATGTTGTAAAAGTTTTCGTTAAATTTTCCATGTATATATTTTTTCTGTATATAGTTATGAAGTGGCTATGTATAGGTTTAAACTCACAGATCATGGTTTGAGACTATAGATCTTGGTTCAAGACCACCAATATTGGTCTGAAACCATAGATCTTGGTCCAAGGCCACCGATATTGGTTTGAAACCTTTGAAACCCAAGATTTTGGTCTCAGACTACTAGAAATAAAAATGTAGAAATAAGACCCTTATATTAATAAATAATGATATAGAGTTTTCTTTGCTCCGAACAAATAACTAAATAAATAAATATATTCCTTAATAACCCATTATCATTAATTTCGAATCCCTTATAACATTCATCTTGTATAACCTATATTTGTAATCCTGAGCTAATTTGACCTCATGTTAGCCAAGTCTCTCTGATGGTTGCAACAATAGGCACTTTTAAGAATGAACAAATGATGATTAAGTGAAATTTGAAGTTTGCAGAAATAGGATTTTTCAAAAGAATGTCTTGAAAAGATTTGTAAAATATGGAATATAAAAGTTGAAGGCTTCAAGTTAGCAATGAAGACAGAATTAAAAATTAGCAAGAAAATAGGTAAATCGAAAGTACTAACCAAGAAAGAGATCCCGATACCTGAACTCATACTTACTATTAGACTAAATATGAATAAAACTAAAATTGTTGAAACTAGTACTCTCAAGACTTTTCACCTGAAATGAAACCTAAAAATAAGTAATGTTTAGTTAAAACTATTCAATAACAATGAAACTACAAAAAGACTTCTAGAAAAGAAATTCTCTGATATTTAACTATATATTTAATTTTTGATTAATATATATATTGTTACAAAAACTTTTGTTAAATTTTTCCTTGTTATATATGTTTTTCTTGTATTCTGTTAGTGTTTGTTAAAGTGGTTGTGCATGAGAGATCTGGACTTTGAGTCTATAGATCTTGGTTTGAAACTACCAGGATCTTTAAGCTGGAACTTGTAGTGGTGATGCTAGCTATGGATCTTTGAGCTAGAACTTGTGGTGGTGGTACTATAGATCTTTAAGCTGGAACTTGAGCTGTAACTTTGGGCTAGAACTTGTGGCAGTGGTGTCATGGATCTTTGAGCTAGAACTTGAGCTAGAACTTGTAGCAGTGGTGCTATAGATCTTTGAGCTAGAACTTGAGCTGGAGCTTGTGATAGTGGTGCTATAGAACTTTGAGCTTGACTTTGTTCGAAACTCAAGATTTTGGTTACAGATCATGACAATTTAAAATATAAAAAATATTCATTTAACTAACAAAGAAAAAAAGAAATTCCACGTGTTGTATAATAAATGAAGTATTTTAACCTTACCTATCAACTAAAATATATCTCATATTCAGGCCTAGATATTTGTATCTTTGCGATGTCTTGGAAAAATGTGATTCCTTCTGAAACTTTTAAAAGAAGACCATCTTGCTCGTTCATTACTTTCAACTAGTAAAAAAAAAATTTAGAAATGATAAAAATTTAAAAATACTCTAAGCAAAGAAATTGAATTGGTTTTTAACTTTAAATTTTTCCACATATATATTTTCTTATATTTTTGTATCTAGTGGTGAAGCAATTTTTTCATTTTATTATTATATAAATATCTGCTCTCTTCAATAAAGCCCACTGCTTTAAAAGTATGTGGATATATAACTATAGCTATTCGTGGAGCTTTTTTTTCTTCTTCGTTATCAGAAATAATGATAACTCACTCTGAGCAAAGAAATTGGTTTGGTGTTTATTTTATTTTTACTATAGTTTTTTCTTAAAGTATTGGGATAGAGAAAATGCATAACATACAAGCTTTTTTTTTATATCTGAATTGGTGAACAAAGAGTTTATTACAGTATTACGCGATATTTATCTCTGTTTTTGTATATTAGCTTTTGTTATGATTGGTAGATCTACCTGTGATCACCCATGACGACTCTATTTTTTGTTACACAAATTAAACTATTTTTTGCATTCGTTGATCAATGGTTCAATAAGTAAACAATACCGATACTTATAATGTTTTGGCAGAACAAATTTTATAATATTTGCAATTATGATCATAATTTACTAGTGTTGTAAGCCACATGACTTTAGTCGGCTGGCTAAGCCAGCCGACTAAAATATTGGCTAAGCGGCTGGCTAACAGTATACTTTTCAGAATACTTCGGAAATTTTTCATATTTATTCTATGTTTATTCAACAGGGGTGACCGTCCTAAATATTCCAAGGGAGACCGTCCCAAATTAGGAAATAGTTGGGATGATTGTTATACAATTCATTGAAGTTTTTTATACAGTTTACAATACTCTTTTCATGATACTATTGTGGCTTATTTGCATTATGAAACGTAATCAAATTATTATGCAAACTTGTGGCTTTTATATCGTACTTTAATAAACCGGTTGGATTCAAGTGGATTCACCAGATGCTAATATTATGATCTTATCGATTTATATATTAGTTAAAATCAATAAAATCGTAATATAAACACTGGTGAATTCACTTGAATCTAACCATTTTACTAAAGTACGATACAAAAGCTACAAGTTTGTGCAATAATTTGATCACTTTTCATAATGCAAATAGGCCACGATAACCTCACAAAAAAAGTATTTTAAACGTATAAAAAAAAATTTATCAATTGTGTAATGACTGGGTGACTCAGGGTAATCATTTCTTAATTTGGAACAGTCTCCCCTGGACCCAAATATGGGAAATGGTTACACGAATGTTGAATGATTGTCACCTGCTAATCAACCAATCAAAATCTTAAATTTTT